GAGAGAGAGAGAGAGAGAGAGGGAAAGTTTGAAATATAATTATTATTTCGAATCGATTTCAACAGACAGATAAAGAGATAGATGTGTTTGGGGAAAGTTTGTTCGCTTGCATTTGACGATCGTTTTAGCATTATTGTTTGTTGTACATTGAATTAAAATGCAATCGTTGTTGGGAAATTTCTCTTTACAAAAATAAAAAAAAATAATAATTTTAGTCTTATTTTTTTTTTTTTTTGTAATTAAATAAATAAATCTATAAGGGAAAGAAAGAAAGAAAGAAAAAGAAACAATGTAAATTATAGAGGACTTTTGCTCGGTCTCCTTCAAATGGATAGTATTCATCATTCCCGTGAGGAAGCAGTACAGATGAATTATTCGAATTCAATAACTATATCAAATAAGCAAAGGAAAAAAAAGAATGTGAAAAACGGAGAGGATAAAGGGGAGAAATAATTTCATGACAAAACACAATAAAAACGAGATCTTTCATTCGAGAATGAATTTAATCGAGTAATATTATATGTTGAATTTTAATTAATTTCAAACTTAATTTCTACAAAATAAGTATTCTATCATAATTTTAACTTAAGAAAACTATTAATAATAATTCATTCTGTCTATGAAATAACATAATATTAGCTCTTTAATTAGAATCAAATTAAACTTGGATATTTGAGATATTTAAAAAAAAAAAAAAGGGAAACTATGTTAAGCTATCTTTCGATAACTACTACAAGTATTCCTTGCTATAAATTTTGAAAACATTGGGAAATCTCGGAGCTTAATTCATTAATTTCTTTTGTGGTATGGAATGGAAAGCATATGCTAAGTGAACGGATGATAGGAAATGGGGAAAGAAATTAAAATAAATTAGTAATAAGTATAAATTTGAAATGATTGGGCGTAAATGCAGCAATTCTATAAATGCTAAGATTAAATTAATTTTAAATTAGAACTAAAATTTAAAAAAATTATAAAGTAATTTATGTTTCGTAAAAGCAAAGTTCGATTAGACGATCAAAAAGCGCCTGCCTTGTGCTGTATGATAAACTGGCTATAAAAGAAAGTAAAAAGATATGAAATGTAACGAACAGGAAATTATTCACCTCAAATAAATTCCTCTTCCTTCTTTCTCTCTCTCCCTTTTTCTCTCGCTTTGTCCTTTACTTTTCGATTTTCTACTGAAAATGTCGCACTATTTAGGAGTGTGATATTGATGGATAAACTGCGCTTCTTAGGGAAGAAAATGCCAAGCAGTCGTTTGGCTCGTGCTTCCTTGGCTTTATTTGATTTTACAAAATAGCATGGATAATGAGGAGAGTTTCGAGGAAAAAATAAATGATGAAATTGAAGAGGAAAAAAAGGAAAGAAAGAGGAAAAGGAAAAGGAAAATATCGTATATGAAACCAATTGCTATTGATGAAATGAAAGGAACTAAAAC